CAGTCTACACTCTGCCTTTGAACTATCACATTAAAATGTGTCCAAACTTTAAACTTAATTTTCATTTGAAAGAGATTTGCTTTGTGAAATCTGCCTGCCCAGAGGATAATTTTCCTAGGCAAAGACGACAATGATATAAAATAAAAGGCAACAAACAGAGCACGATCATAGCACGACAATAACCTATTTTACGTTTATAGGGAATGGGGCTTAATCTGTCATTTTCTCTCTATCTTTATCTGTGTGTGTTTGTTTGTGTGTGTTAGGATGGAGACATCCTGGCCTCCAGTTTCCCTGTGGACACACAGGTAGCCTACATCCTCAGCCTGGGAGTGGTCAAAGAGTTCAGGAAACATGGCATAGGTACAGCCGCCCTTGCCCACTGGCTCTCACACACACAAAAACTTGGGTTCATCAATCTGAGGACACTGCACTGACTGATATCCACTCCCTCTACACTCACCCTAACCTTAACCACAACCACAACCACTACATGCCACACCCCATCCCTTACCCTAACACAGAGGTAGATAGACTATGAGTAGGCACTGGAGAGTATAGATGCTGTGTGAGCTAAAAGGACAGGTGCATGCTGGTGTTCCAAAAACCACTGGAAGTTATTGTAGTTTGGCTTATTTATCAGTTGTCGCAGCAGCAGTGGGTGTGGCGCACAGCTCATGGAGGTGATTAAGATACTTAGAACTCGCCTGAATGCTGCAATGTGCAAAAATGTGCCTGAGAATATTCACATTTTTAATCTTTTCTTCAGTATCAAAGTAACCCAGTGATAGTTGTCTGCACATACATGGATGCATTGCAAACAGGAACTACTAATAGCTAGCTCGACATACTTGACACGACAAAAGTGTCTCCCTAGACAAATGTTAGAAGATTAGTTGTTTTAAATTGATTGCAGTTTTACAGTGCACTGGTCCAATGCCGGCCAGGGTTATCAGGTCTTCATCCACTTCTCACTCTGGATTCAAATGTGAAAGCACAGATCAGCACATGATGGAGGGAACATACAGTATTGTCTCAGAGTCCTGTGTCTGAAGAGCATGGAATGGAAAGTCACATCACTGACATTATTTATGACTCGTGGACTACTTAAAAGTACATTTTATTAACACCTGCCTGTAGTAATGATCTGTAAATGTTATATTTGTGTAGAAAACACTTTGTTAGTTTGGTGCAGAGCTGTACACTTCAGACCTGGAGTCGAGTAGACAAGTAGAATGCGTCTCTCCCTCTCACTGATAGAGCTCTCTCTCCTTTCCACTCCTCAGGCTCCCTGCTGCTGGACAGTTTGAAGGAGCACATCTCAACGACAGCCCAGGACCACTGTAAGGCAATCTACCTACACGTCCTCACCACCAACAACACTGCCATCCACTTCTATGAGAACAGGGACTTCAGGCAGCACCACTACCTGCCCTACTACTACTCCATACGAGGCGTCCTCAAAGACGGATTCACATACGTGCTCTACATCAATGGGGGCCATCCACCCTGGACATTATTATATCCTTTTGTGAAAGCAGAAGAAGACACTCACTCACTATTGTTTAGTGGACAGTTTATGTTTACATTCAACCCCACACCAAAACTTTACCTGCTCCAAAGAGTAGAATCTACAGCATCTTGATTAGAGGAGATCTTTGTACTTTTAGGCAAGCTAACAGAGTTAGAGAAAATAGATTAGCCAAACATAAATGCAGTATTTTTCACATTTTCCTTAACTCCCTGTCCCACTGACTACATCCAGCACATCGGTTCGACCCTGGCCAGCCTGAGCCCCTGCTCCATCCCTCAGAGGCTGTACCGACAGGCCCAGTCCCTGCTGCGCTCTCTGCTCCCCTGGTCCAACATCGCCTCCAAGACTGGCATACAGTACAGCAGAACAATGTGACACAACATGGTGGGTGGGCGTTGTGGTGGCTAGCTAGTACCAAGGCCTTTTCTGTCCATCACTGGATGTCTGATTTCCTCTTTTTCTTTCTCTTCTTTTTTTAGGAGCGAAACTTCCGTTTCTCGTCAGTCTTCCCCTGTACACACCAAGATGTACACTCGCACTCACGTTCTCCATCTCGCACAGGTTTCCACACCCTGTGTATGACACAGGACTCAGGTTTAACCTGCGTTTGACCACTCAGAATATTATTCCCCATTCACTACACATGGCACTGTTCACACAAAGATCCAGGTTTGATAAACAGGGTTGTTGCATTCCAGCGTCACTCAGAGTGCAGTGTTCACGGTGTGATCTGGTAAAACCATGGGATTTCTTTATATCATTCTGTTACTATACTATCCCATATATACTACACTATCCATTAGTTACTATAGTAACCTGTGTTTACCCGGTCATACCAAAGTGGAGCAGCGTCACACCCGCTTTCAACCCAGGCAGCTGAGCAAAGCGGAGGACCTGGTTCCGCTAAACCACGTTGACCCAGGCACTCCAGCTCATAAGGGTTGTCTCTTACATATACACACACACACCGTGAACCCTACAGAGACTTCATCCTGTCCACTACTGTCACAGAGACTATGTATACTGTTTGTATATTATATATACTAAGCTAATATATAAATTTCTGTCATTATGTATGTCTATTCTATGCTGTTGGTAGGCCTAGTTGGAAGATATCCCACCCTGTCCCCTTTTTGAGTAGAAACTGAATCCCGAGTCAATTCCAGTTTGTAAAATAGAGACTCAAAAACAATTTAAATTTAATTGGACTGTGAATCTAGCTATGTGTAGGCTAGTAGGGTAGCATAAACCTAAATATATGCAGGAAACCTTGAGACACAATGTAGATGGCTGATATATTTTAGTACCAACTGGAGTTTTCAAAAAGGATTCTTCCCTTTTGAAAATTTACTACATTGTCGATTTTCTGAAAACTGTGCTATTGACATCAGTACAGAATGTACTCAGCACTTCCTGCAACAGGGTTTACAGACACCTCACATGTTATGCAGTGCTGTTTGAAAGTCTTACATAAAATCAGAATTCAACGCAAAATGGCCTTTCTACATTGTTTCAAAATGTTGCCCATGTATAGTTCACACAAGAGTGAGGGGGAGTTGCTCGGGGTGCTTCTTTTTGAGGTTTTTAATGGCTGCAGCTCTGTCTGTCTGCTCCACAGCTGTAAAAAAAAAAAATGCTGCTAATGTAGAGAAATGTCTATTTGTTTGTCAAGATTTTAAATTATGGCCCAGATTAGATTTGTTTTTAAGTTAGCCCATAAACAAAATAGGAAAAAAGTCCCAAACACACGTCATACACCTTGTGTGCGTGCAGGCGTGTATGTCCGTGTGTGTATATATGCACACAGGGTCAGAAATTAGCACCCAGCAAGTGCCAAATGTTGGTCTTATCTGTCAGCGGAAGAAAAAATGAGTTCACCCAACATGTTGACTGGTAACTTTGTCCGTGAGTAACATTGTAGTTTCTCAATTTTATCGCATTCTCTTGCACTTCGTAACCAATTTCAAACCTGATCCAGTTTATCAGCGTCAATGTATCAGTGATTTTATACATGACATAGCACTGAAAGGGGGTAAGGGTAACTGTGTGAAATATGTGCATTCATTGTTAAAAGGTGAACGTTTCTCAGTCTACCAGCCCTGGGCAGGTAGCTCAGAGTGAATTTCAGACATTGTGTATGCAATAAACTTGTTTCATTTGACATTGATTGTAAAAACGGAGTCAGCCTGATTACCCCTGCTGTAGGACTGTTTCTGTCATAAATCTGAGCCCTGTTTTCATTCACACCATGCCATGGTTTCTACTGTTTGTCTTAAAGGGGCACTCCTGTGGTTTATTAATGCACTGCTGTTATTTGGGTTAGAATTGAGAGAGTGATTTAAAAAGAAAAAATTATTATTGAAGCAGCAGTGGCAGAAATATCCTGACTTTCCATACAAGCTCCAAAAACAGTGTTTTTGTCTTTGTTAGGCCCACCCTGACCTTTAAAGCTGCACTAGGTAACTTTTATAAAAATTGCCACTGAACATCATGAACTACCTTCAACCCAAAGTGTTGTTATATCTTTCTTGGCTCTGATACCTACTGCAGCTTTAAAGGTCCAGTGTATAGGATTTACTGGCATCTAGCGGTGTAGTTGCAGTTTGCAACTCCCTCGCGTCAACTTCCCCTTCCAAGCACAAAGGAGTAATTACAGTGGTGCCGAAACACGTGGAAAAAGGTAAAACACCCCGATCTAGTTCTGGTGTTTCATTTGTACACCCAACATGGTGGAAGGCAAACCACATCTGTAGATAAAAACGCCTCATTCTAAGGTAACAAAAACACAATGATATCAATTTCTAGGTGATTATACATGAATGAAAACATAGCTATGAATATTACTCAGGGCTCTCTTTCCAAGTTTCAAGAGATAACCCTGATGACATCATCTGGGTTATTTCCTCTTCCCTACCTCAAAGCTCCTCCAGTCACAGAAGAGATTATACAACTGTTTTCACAGGCTGAATTGAACCAGCACTATTAAGGATTTCTATTTTTCATTCAGTTTATATAATAATAATAATTCTGTTTAGTTTTGGTTAGTTTCCAGAGTGTTTTTTTGTTGTTTAAGAATGTTTGATGTGTTTATGTTGAGTTTAGGTTTTTGTGTTAGTTATATGTTTTTTTATTATAATATGGGGGATCAGGTTCCTCATGCATGTTGTGTTGACAAAGACAAATATTTTATTTTATTTTAGTTAGTTTTGTAAGTAGACAATGTAGTTTCAGTTACTTTCCATTTTTATCAAAAAAATTTTATGAACTATAATAATCTTGAATAGTACTTCCCAATGAAGATTAAACCGATCTTGATGTGGAACTGGTGGCGTGTCCCTTTAAATACACTGTAAAAGGTTTCCATTGTGTCCTTACCATCTAGAACATCTGGTGCCCCACGGGTGTAATAGCAGCATTAGCATCCTGCCAAAACAATGCATCCCGAGAAGTGAAGAACTAGTAGGCAATGGAAGAAAAGTGGTGGATTTTTTCATTAAGCCTCATTAATTTTTAATACAAAGTTCATGTGAATTGGCTTTGCTTGGTCTTTGACCACAGAGGCTTTTCTGGCCATGATATGGTTTCAATAATGGATTGATTGTGTCATAATTCAACAGCGGCTTCCTGTCCCTGCACAACACCTTGTCTGTGTCTGTGCCTGTCTGTCTGTGTCTTGTTTTCAACATTGTACACTTTGTTGTTCTTTAGCTGATTCTTTAGCTGATCTTGTGGGGATTGAGAGGAGGAATGTGTTTTTAGCTGAAGAATAATTCAGGACTTGTGAGCCTCTTTTAATCAGGGGTGTGTCCAGGAAGGGCCTGGGAGGCCACTGATTGGCCACCCCAAGTGCCACGGTATCCTTAGCTCTTCCACTTGCACTGTCTTTCAGAGGCTGTAGTGTATGGAAGCCCATTTCTGCTAATGTGACGGGGGAAAAAATAAAAGTAACGCTCCAAATTTAGGCAAAACTGGAATTGCCATTTTTAAATGGATTCCTTCACCTCTGACCTCAAGATGTCTTAATATAAATGGGATCCGTGGGTACCCACTCCCCTTTGCATACATGACCACTTTATGCTCATCCCATGCAGTTATGGGCAGAAACCATGCAGTTTTTTGTTTATTAATGTGTTAATTTCACCTAGTGTACTTATATATGTACCTATATTTCTGCATCCTGGGACCATTAACAATGTTGAATTACATATATTGAGAATGACTGGAAAGCTGAGACACATAATTAATGCCACCCCAGTCATAAAAGTTTGGAAACACCTCACTCATCATAAACATGTACCGTAGCAGTTAGCTCCTAATGTTTAGCAGGAACATACAGCCAGTTTTAGGCTTATACTTCAGTTTGAAATGTTAGATACCCCAAAGATGCATAATCTAAAACACAGAAATAAAATTAAGGCCTCTACTTTGTTGTAAATCTGAATGTTTTTAATAGATTTGGTACATGTGCAGCCACAAAATTAGAAAATGGGAAAAGTCCATTATCAGCTCAGACTGCTTTGATAAAGACATGTTAGATTTTGTACCCACTGACAAAGATTGAAGGCAGACATCATCTTTCAGTTTGAAACAAATTATTGGATGTTTCTTTGAAAAGTCATACCAATAATAAATTCATGAAAAAATACAATTTATTGCAAACACCTATAAAAGGGTAGTGGTACTGGGGTTACCTGTAGTTTTCCAATGTTTTTAATGCTATACCACCACACAGGAAGTTTCCATTTTCTCAACAACTGCAGAAGGACATCTTTTGGTTAGCTTCATATTGGTAAGTACAGTTCTTGTTTGCCAGCAGTTTCCTTGTGCTCTTTAATAAACAGTATATTTTTGCTATTTTGGCACAGACTATTTTGAGCTCTCTTAGCTCTCATGTGTTGCTTTGTTACACAAATAAAATGCTGATTGCCAGACCAGGTTAGCCGATGCTGCTTTTTGGAATTCAACTTAATATGACCCTCTGTTGTGGCAGTGTTGCTATGAGGAAAAAGTCTCTTTAAAGTAATTTGTCATGAGGTGTGTGTTTTTGTGTGTGTGTTGTTGTTTTTTTTGCCTAACCTCTTCTGAAGGGCAAATGGGAGCCGGTCATATCTCAGCCTCACCCTTTGTCTGTTTCCTAAGGCAACGGCAGTATGTATACTTTGCTCTTGCCTCTGCTCTCTTTGTTTTTCCCTCATGGATTGTACAAAAGGGTTCAGTAGTCTGTGGTGGTGATAGAAGAGACCAATTAAAAAAGGAATTGCAGTTATTACACATTACACAGCTGCAGTATTGGAGCTGGGCAATTTGTTCCATCAGCATCACATTACACACAATCCTTCATAGAGGCAGAGTTCATTATGTAACCATAGACACATGTACATAAATTAGTGGAATACAGCTCCGATTTCTTTCAGCTTAAATAAAAATGCAGTTATGTCTCCCCCTGCTGAATGCGACTGGGTGCTTCATCTGGACCTTGTCAATGTTCAGGTTATTTCTCAGCCCGTTCTCTTAAAGGTCCAGTGTGTAGGACTTGGTGACATCTAATTCCCTTATTTTACCCTTCCCTTCCAAACTCGAAGGAACAACTACAGTGGCTGTGAATTGCGTGAACATGAATGCCTCCATCTAGAGCCAGTGTTTGGTTTGTCCCTTCTGGGTTACTGTAGAAACATGGCGGTTCAACGTGGCAGACTCCATGGAAGGCAACCTGTGGCAACTGTAGATAAAAATAGCTCATTCTAAGGTAACAAAAACACAATTATTCTTATATTCAAGGATCTTGAAACTGGACTGATAATGGAAAACATTACTTATTGATGTTATATAATACATATATACATTTCTTTCTTTTTTTTAAATGTTACACACTGACCTTTAGTTTGTGTGATGTAGCTACTGTAAAATGAAACCATAATCTTCAGCTAAGTTAGATGGGCTCTGCTCTCCTCAAGTGAAAAAACGTTGGCTAATGCATTTACACCTGTTTTTTCCTATGATATGTCAAAACTGTCTCTCTATCTTCTTCTAGATCTTCTATCTTCCTATCTTATCTATCATATCTATTCTTTCCTTCTATCTATCTTATTATCTATCTATCTAGGCTTATGTATGACAGAAAATTACGATGTTGATTTTAATGAGAAATATAAATATGCAGAGTCACATATGCATAACTGTTACTACAACATTTTTATTTACGCATGGTACAATTCTTTTTTTTTTTTCCTATTTGATCCTCAAACCAGAGGGTTCTCCTGTGGTTGAGTCCCAGGGGACGAAGCGGCGCCAGCGAGCCAGATGGGGTTTGGGACAGTTGGATTTTGTTTGTTGTGTGCACTTATTTGTTTAGTTTATTTTATCAATTATATATTGATTAATTTTATTTTTCCTTGCTGTCATGCTTTAGGCAGTGGAAGGGGCCGTGCATCTTTTAAACAGAAACGATGATTTTAAAAGCTTGCACATCCTGCTAATAATCCCCATTTTTTTCCTCAATGTAGCTGTAATTGTTTTTTTTTTATGATAATAAATACCTTTTTTTTCTTTTACTGGCTGCCACCATTCAAACTATCTAAAGAACCAAACAATTAGAACCAATATTGGACATTTTGCGGGTTGTGGTTCTTGTTTACGGTACACAGTGTTTTTGAGGTCACCCTGTGGCGTCCGTTACGGTAAAGAACTGACAGGTGACGTCACTGAGCAAGCACTCACGCCCACTCGGAGACGGAGACAGTGAAGAGCAGCGAGTAGTTACACTGCCTGACTCTACTGAACCTCATCACTGACACGTCCTGTACAGCGGAGGGACAAACTAAACGTACTCAACAGAAGTTGAGTTCAAAGCTCAGTTTTTGTCTCGTTGGACGCGTGTTGCTGAGCTACTGAACACCCTTGAGTCGTGAAGTTGACAAACAAGGTGAGTGATGCACTCAAACAACTCACAAACAACAAACTGACCGTTTTTACCCCGTGAACGCAGCACGGATAATTCCCGCCGCGGATAACTAACTTCATTTTTATTGTAAGCTAGCTGTCAAGTTGACGCGTAAGTTTTTTAGTGAAGACTTTTGGTTGTAAACCGTTATGTTTTGGGGTAAAAGTGGGAAACGGGGCTGCTGTGGAGGTTGTCACTTTGTTTCCCTTTCCAGCACATTAATGGCGTTCAAGTCCACTGATTTCCCACTCTTTCCTTTCCATTACGGACTGTGTTTTCCTGGGGCGTTTATTTCCTTCGGATGTGGGAGCAAACAACCAAGCAAGTAGACGCCAGCCATAAAGAAAGTGTGTGTGTGTGTGTGGAGGGGAAAGCCCTTGTTTTTGAGCCCAGTTTCAGGCCTGTTGTTGAAACAAAAAACATCAGCTGATGTGCCAGTTTGGTTGTTTGTGTGTAATTTCAGATTTCTAATGAAAGGTAGTGGCAGAGGTATCGTGACACACTTTCAGTCAGGATGTGGCTGCTGTAGAAGGTTAAGGTGCCCCCTTCCCTCCTCAGATCTGCAAATAGATTGACACAAAGACAGATTTTCAGATCTAAACTTCATCAGACTACTTCTGTTCTGTTCCACACTGAGGCCGAGCACCCGCTGGTAGATTACTTCTGGCGTGTTCTAGCTTGTTCAGGGGCTGACTAAAGGGGAAGACTCCTAAAATCTATGGTTGCACTGATCCATTTTAGACGTTCAGTCAAATGTAGACATTTGCAAACATTTCTAACTGCTGGTCACTGCCAAAAAAGCTGCACTTTTGTACCCATAAAGGTTGTGAGTGAAGTCACTCAGAGAGGTTTTCAGCACAGCGTTTTTGTGAGTGTCATTGTCTTCTTCTCACCGACTGAACTGAACTGAAAGAGCAGCTGAGGTTGAACAATATCTTAATTTATACTACTACATGATTTGTGATGGCTCTCTGTGTAGCGCTGGTATTTCATCTCAACAAGTTATGAGGCACATTTTCTCACACGGTCTGTGTTCAGCTATGCTAAATGCCTCCGGTTTCAGGATACTCTTGTACATCTCATCCAGCCCTGACACTGCGAGGTCTTGGCGTCATTACAAGGCCAAAGGCGCACAATCTGCAAAGCACCGTACTCATGTTTGTCCACTCTTTCATAAATGCGTGCTTTCAGAATGTCCGCTGTGCTGTTAAGTGTGCTGTCATGTCACTAGGTTTTTATGGCCTGTGCCTTTTACAGCCATGAAGTTGGGAGATGGAGCTTGTTGTGAAGGCCTTGCATGTTGTTGTGTAATATGATCTGCTGTAATAGTCCCCTGTGAGAGCTGGCTGCAGGCAATAAAGCAACGACAATGAGGGAGAGAGAGAGATAATGGGTCGAGAGCTGCTGAATATGAATCAAGTTTGAGCACAAACCAGTGAACGGATAGACAAAGAGCTTTGATAACGCTGAAGAAGAGTGATGAAGAAAGAGGTAACTTTAAATTAAAAATAGCGTACGATTTCTCAACCTGGCCGCAGGGATTTTTTCCCCATTCAGTCACAAAAGCATTTGAGGTCAGGCACTTAGGCTGGGTAGATGCAGACGCGGGCAGGGTGGTTCAGTTTAGTTGCAATCTTGCACACTTCACTGTAGATGCCACTAAATCCTATTGACTGGACCGTAACTGATGCATTCTTTCTTTCTTACTTTGTTATTACTGGTAAATGTCTTTTTGAATTGGTTAAAGTATGTCAGAAAATAGTGAAGGATGGATGAATGAACAGAGAAAAGCCTTTAATTCTCACATTGGAGAAGCGGGTACTAGGTAATGTCTGAATATTTGAGCTTGTACCAAAATTATGATCAGACTAGCTGCCAGTGACGTTTCTGCCAATAGACTAGTCATTTCAGCTCTAAAAGCAGCAACTGACAACAGCAAAGCTGAAAGCACTCCGCAGTGCAAGAGACAACATGTGAAGAGCAGCGCGGGGAGACCACATGTAAATGAAGCAGGAAGATGAAACAGGATAAAAGCAAGTGAGTTATGTTGTTGCGGCCTATCTGCATCCCTTCACCTTTATAAACTGCATGTGTATGTGTGTGTGTGTGTGTGTGTGTTTACTACCTGATGATGGCCTAGGGGACAAATTCCACGCACTCACTCTGAAATATGACAGGAATGGCTTCTGGAGGCTTTTCTGTGCTTATCTCCACATCACTCAAGGTTATTCTTCTTTAGGAAAGGTGTGTGTGTGTGTGTGTGTGTGTGTGTGTGTGTCTCTCTAAGTGTGTAAAGGGACAGCATGGAACAAGTCATCGTACTTTGCTAACCCGGTACTGTGAAGTGATAATCCTCAAACTTTGCATGTAAATAAATACCCGCTTTGCTATGAAAATAGGCTTCAGCAGCAACCCTGTGCCTCAGTGGCACTGTTGGTTTATTTTTCAGTGACTAGCCTGAGCCACATTAACTATAATGGCTGACTATGCACACATGAAACCAGATATGGAGAAATCAGAACCGATTGGAGGCTGTGTCTACATATAGCTTGTGTGGAATCAGATTTCTCTGCCACTCCTCACCATATCTTTTTATCCAAACCAAGTCTATTGGTGATATATGGTGTTGCATTATGCAGTGAGAGAACGGTCTCTGTGGTGGTGAGAGCACGCAGTGAAAATGAAATAAAATCTCAAATAAAATAAATGCAGATGTTTATTTTAGTTGTAGTTGCATATAATTCATTTGTGGAAAAACCCCATCAGGAAACCAGTATACATGGCAGGTATGTGGCCAAGAAATCAGGTTTTTCCAGCAGAAACCTTGCTGTGTAATCTTACTACTGTTCTCTTAATCACTCACACTGATTGAGGGAGCTGTTTTTCTCATCAACTTTCAGGAAATTACTACCGGTATGCTACTTATGCATAAAAATACAACAAATATAAAGAGTGGCACCAACAGAATGTACAGCAACAGAACATTCACAGCACGATTCTAACAGACAACCACTCCTGTTTAGTTTCAGCATGTGTAAGAGCTAGTGTGCACGATACCAAAATTATTGGTTCGTCGGATATCCGATACCAAGTCAAGAATTCGATTTCGGATCTTTTCCTGAAAGGGAGAAACGCTCTCAAATTATCATTGCTGCTGCTTTATTTTTAAAACCGGGACAACATTTAATCATTATAGCACATCTAATGAATTGAACATATGAACAGCAAGATATATTAAAAACATTTGAACAAAAGTATGAAATATCAAAATACTTGGGCTAACTTAAGTTGGGGGAGGTTGCTGCTGGGGTTGGCTGCTGCCTTGAATGGAGTTGCTCTTTCGGAGCCAAGGCTCCAGACTTCTGTAGACAGAAGGAAAAATGGAAAATATTGTAAAATGCTGGATGGTGATAAATCTGTATACGCATTAAGACCTAAATAGTTTATGTGATATAACAATAACTTGTTACTAAACTTCTCTATAGCCAGTGGTTATAGTGATAAACTGCCTAAATTACTAACCATTAACATTCCATAATTAATTAATAAGAGAATAATGACAGCTTAACCTTTATGTTATTGTTAAGCCTGTAATATATGTGATTGAATTATAGGCTAATGTTTCCTGTACTTCAACGTCTGATTTCTTTGATGGTTAACTTTATATTTTGAGGTCATAATTTCTTACAGAGGCGTTTGCAAATACACCTCCCTGTTGGCATTAGGTCTGGCTCTTTAAATGCGTGTTAATAACCTCATAGAAATAAATCACTGACAAACATGCACATGCTCCGATCTTATAGACCATATAGCCTGATAGATCAGTTTTGAGCTGATTGTTTTGTATGCTTTATTTTAGCAGCCTTGCGAAATTGATTTTTTAAGTGTATCTGTGAAGTTGCGTTTCAGAGATGTTAATTAGCCGTAGGCAGCTATTGGTTAGCCATGGAGTGATGAGATGCCATAGTTAGCTACTATTTCTCTAGGATTAGCCTCGGTCAAACTTTACGGTGCGTGCAAAATAGTGGGACTTCTCACAAAATGAAACCAGTAGCCTAGCTCATTTGATTTAAGGCTGCGCATGAACGATCGTGTTATCTTTCACATAGTAACCTGTCGGTCTTTAACTGCCTTGTACAACTCGGCGTGCTTTGTCGGCCAAGTGTGTTGGCCAGGTTCGAGCTGTTGGCTCCCTTGTTTACATTCTGTTTACCTGTTGTTTCATTTGTTAGGAAACACTGGATGACAAACACGGGTATCGACTTATCGGGTAGCTTTGCCCTCACTATCAGAGGGGGTAGGCAAAGTATTCCATGATTATCACTCCTCGCGTCATTCTTTTTTCTACCAGTCGTTGGACCGGCGGCCACCAGTATCGAACTTGGTGCTCGCGACATGCAGCCGTCTCGTTATAGTGTGTTGTTTGTCACATGACAGCTGCAGATTCTTTGCTGGCGTGCGTGAGGGATGAAAAACACAGACGTCCACAGGGAGGCACTGGAAGATGCGGGTTGCCACACACCAACACGAAATACGTCTCAGCTTGAAAATCTGGAACGTGGTCAGTTCTTAAGAGTATCGCATACTGAGATAAATTTTAGGAATCTGACGTTTTTAATTTCTGAGAATGGCGATACTTTTTAAATTATCGGTTACACACTAGTAAGAGCAGGGATGTATTTCCCAACAGTGATACAAAAAATGGGCTAGGTTTAGCAGAGTTTAGCTAGTTTTTTTGGTGTTCTGTTTTTTAAATTCAGACTAGGGACTATTTCACAAAGCACTCTAAGGGGCTCATAACACAGAGACATTGCTAAAAACGCATCGCCTGCAAAACCATTGTTTTCCTTCTTTTTGCACTGCGATTTTCTAGCGTGTAAAAAACTTTTCAGCTCAAAGCGCAGTCACACCACTCATCAATGTCACACTTCTCCCAGACAGCCAATCCAATTAAGGAAGAGGTGGGCTTTACTACTTTCCTT